CCTCTGAGAAGTTGTCTTGTGGCTTCAGAGTTCTAGGGTTCTAGGGTGTTCTAGGGTTCTAGGGTTTAGGGTTTAGGGTTTGGGGTTTAGGGTGTAGGGTTTAGGGTTTAGGGTGTAGGGTCTAGGGTTTAGGGTGAAGGTTTCTTAGGGTTTCTTGGGGTTTTAAGGTTTTTCGGGGGGGGGGGGGGGGGGCTTGAGGGTTTGCGAGGGGACCTTTTGAGGGGCTTGAGGTGAGGGCTTGGAGGGTTGCGGGGGTTTTTTCAAGGTTTGCTTTTGGATCTGTTTTTCTTGCTGAGCTTTGAGAGAGGCAAAAAGGGTTTAGGGTTTAGGGTTTAGGGTTTAGGGTTTGGGGTTTAGGGTTAGGGGGCTGGTCAAGGTTTTTTGTTGGGCTTAGGACCCTGGAAGGGAACGTCAATATAGCGGGAATCTCGCCTGGATCTTCCAAAACAACCCTGAAGTCTTGGGATGTTCCCCTTTCTACTAGCAGTCCTCAAAAAGGGACTATAAATAGGGGGGGTACTATAATCCCTATGAATTCTACAAACAGTCCTCAAAAAGGGACTATAACTAGGGGGTACTAAAATCCCTACTAAGGAGCTGTGAGTGTAAGGGGGGAACAGCCCAGCTGAAGTCTCAGATGAAGCCTGCCACGCTGGCGTGGGATGGGCTGGAGCAGGACTGGGCTACACCCTACACCCTCCACCCTACACCCTGCACCCTACACCCTACACCCTACACCCTACACCCTACACCCTACACCCTACACCCTACACCCTAAACCAAAGACCTTAAACCTTACAACCCTAAACCCCAACACCTGCGTAGAATTTCTTCGGCTTTCCGCGCGTAACTTCGGTTGTTCTCCATCCACCGTGGGACTTTTCAAGTCCTTAAACCTAGCCCTAGCCCTCAGGACTTTTGCTGAGCTTGCAGGGCTTTTCGGGGATGGTTGAGCACTTGAGTTTTGAATGGCCTCAGGGCTTCGGGTTGTGCATTTGCGGGCTGAGGGACTAAGGGTTTGGGAATTTTACCCTAAACCCTAAACCCTTAACCCTGAACCCTGAACCCTAAATCCTAAACCCTAAACCCTAAACCTTAACCCCCTAAACCCTAAACCCTAAACCCTGAACCCTGAACCCTGAACCCGAAACCCTAAACCCTAAACCCTAAACCCTAAACCCTAAACCCTAAACCCTAAACCCTAAATCTTAAACCCTAAACCCTAAACCCTAAACCTTACCCCCTAAACCCTAAACCCTAAACCCTAAACCCTGAACCCTGAACCCTGAACCCTGAACCCGAAACCCTAAACCCTAAACCCTAAACCCTAAACCCTAAACCCTAAACCCTAAACCCTAAACCCTAAACCCTAAACCCTAAACCCTAAACCCTAAACCCTTGGGCATGTTAGAGGGGCCTTAGCCATATTCCCCCACGTAACCTTTCCTTGAGCTGCTCAGCCTTTTTTTTTGTGAACGGCCCCGCATGCTTCAGACTGCGAGTCGAGGGTTTAGGGTTTGGGGGTAGAGGGTTTAGGGGAAGAGGGTTTAGGGGTTTAGGGTTTAGGGGTTTAGGGTTTAGGGTTTAGGGTTTAGGGTTTAGGGTTTAGGGTTTAGGGTTTAGGGTTTAGGGTTTAGGGATAGAGTGTTTCGGGTTTGGGGTTCAGGGGTTAGGGCATCTCCTGCTTCAGCACCTAAGCAAGGCCCTGGAAGCACAAGAGCCGAGCCAGCAGCCAGCAGCCCACTTGAAGAATTGTTTGCAGTTTCATGTTTGAGGCGGAGTACCTTGACGAGCACATGGCTTCCCGGGCTGTTGCTGAACATCTTTTTTTTGGAAGGGCTGGGCTGGTAAATGAGCGCGCTTGGGCTAAGTCAACCTTTAGGCAACCCTCAGCCCTAACCCCTAAACCCTAGACAACCCTAAACCCTAAACAACCCTAAACCCTGAACCCTAAACCCTAAACCCGAAACCCTAAACCCTAAACCCTAAACCCTAAACCCCAAACCCCAAACCCCAAACCCTAACCCTAAACCCTAATCCCTACACCACAAAACCAGGAGCTGCGCCCAAAGCGCCGCGCCGAGGCGCCGCGGGTGCCGCGGGCAGCGCCCTCGCTGCCGGAGGAGGCCGAAGCGACCTCCGCGACGTGGTGGTATTTTCTTACTTGTATATACACACACTTTATGATTATGATTATGATTATTGTTGTTATTATGATTATTGTTAATATTATTATCACTATTACTTTTCTTGTGATTATGGTTATTATTGTTATTATTGTTATTATTGTTACTATTGTTATTATTGTTATTCTTGTTATTCTTGTTATTATTGTTATTATTGTTATTATTGTTATTATTGTTATTATTGTTATTATTGTTATTATTGTTATTATTGTTATTATTGTTATTATTGTTATTATTGTTATTATTGTTATTATTGTTATTATTGTTATTATTGTTATTATTGTTATTATTGTTATCATTGTTATTATTGTTATTATGGTTACTATTGTTATTATTGTTATTATTATTGTTTTATTATTACTACTACTACTACTACTACTATTATTATTATGATTATTGCTACTATTATTCGCATCATCATCATTATCATTATCATTATTATTATCAGTTATAATTATAATGAGACTCCTTTTGCTTTTTTTCATGTGGTCCCTGGTTAGTGCAACCCTCCTCCCCTCTCAGAAGGGTTCGTTTGAGAGCTTTCGGCCTGTAACTTCCTTAGGGTACAAGGATCACCCTTGGCCTCTGAAGCAGCCTTAGAAACAAAGGCCCTAGTACGTGGTATTCGGTGGCAGGGAAGTGGCTGGACCCTTTTTATAGGGTTCTTAAGAGAGGGGGCTTCATGGGGGTAGGTACCTAGGGAACCTTAGGGAACCCTGAACCCTGAACCCTACACCCTACACCCTACACCCTAAACCCTAAACCCTCAACCATAAACCCTGAACCCTCAACCCTCAAACCCTAAACCCAAAACCCTAAACCCAAAACCCTAGCCCCAAACCCCAAACCCCAAACCCCAAACCCCAAACCCCAAACCCCAAACCCCAAACCCCAAACCCCAAACCCCAAACCCCAAACCCCAAACCCTAAACCCTAAACCCTAAACCCTAAACCCTAGCCCTAAACCCTAGCCCTAAAGTTGGCCAGGCGCCCAAGCCAAGGGAGTCCAAGCCAGCAGAGCTTGGAGCTGAGCTTTGGAGGGCGTTTAGGGTGTAGGAGCAGTTTAGGGTTTAGGGTTTAGGGTTTAGGGGTTAGGGGTTAGGGTTGAGGGTTGAGGATTGAGGGTTTAGGGTTTAGGGTTTTGAGTTTGAGGTTGAGGATTTGAACTTTCCACCTCAGCGTTTCGCTTTGTTGCTTCGTTTTGGGATTCTGTGGAGTAGGGTTGGGGGCTTAGCCGTGCATCTGGGGCGTTGCAAGATGGGCAGTGAGACACTGCACCTAAAATGGGTTGAGTGCTCCTTGTTGCCCTTCTGAGTTCTTGAATCCTGAGCCCGAAGCCCCCAAAACCCCAAGCCTTCTGCAAACCCTCTACCTGAACACCGAAAGGCCGCCGGCCCCCCGAAACCCTAAACCCTAAACCCTAAACCCAAAACACTCTGTAGTTGAGAACCAGGCCTGAGTCGATCGAGAGCCTGATGCAGCAGCTCAGCGATGGCGGGACAAAAGCGGATCGGAACCTCGCACTTGGCGTAGGGTTTAGGGTTTCGGAGTTGAGGGTTTAGGGTTTAGGGTTTCGGAGTTGAGGGCTTAGGGGAGTTGAGGGTTTTAGGGTTTAGGGTTTGGAGGCTTTGGAACTTCGGGGTTTTGGTTTAGGCCCTTTAGGCCTCGTAGGCGTTGCGGCATTCGGGGATTATTGGGGTTGGGGGCCTAGGATCCGTGCGCCTGCAGGAAGCCAATGCGCCTCAATAACCCTGCAAGCCAAAATGTTGCAGCTGGTTACTGGTGTGCTTAAAGACACATTGCATCACGTTGGGAGAGAGGGGTGGTGAGGCCATGCACCCTTTGCTCATAAGAAGTCGTGAGTGGGACTGCGGGGATAGGTTTATTTTGTACACAATTTGGGGGGGGGATGGGAGAGGGGGGAAGAGGCCGAATGTCAGTTTAGCAGGGTGCAGGGTGATCCCGGCAAACAGCAGCATCTGAACAGTTTTTTTTTCTCTGCTGCAGCGCCGGCCTGCTGCTTTTGAGGGCTCGAAAGGTGTAGTCTTCAAGAGACACGAGGCAGCAGCTCACCGTGATTGAAGATCGGAAGATGTGGACTTGCCATAAAAAGCTTGCGCGCCCGATGCGGGGAATTCAACTCTAGGCCACCGCAGATTTGAGAGGCCCACCCTGCACCCTTGAACCCTTAGCCCTAAGCCCTGCACCATAATCCCTACGGGGGGTTTAGGGTTTAGGGTTTAGGGTTTAGGGTTTAGGGTTTAGGGTTTCGGCCTAAACCCTAAACCCAGCACTCCCAAAGACTCCGTCTAAAATCAGCCCACAACTCTCCGACTCGCAGCTCCGTAAACGGATGTGCCGCACGGGAGCACGTTGAGGCCTTTTTGAGGGTTGGCTCTTGGGGGTTTGAGGGGTTTGAAGTGTAAGGACCCAAGCCCTGAAGAACTACTATAGCCTACTATTGCCTACTTTAGCCTACTATAGCATGCTATGGTCTACTATAGTATGCCATAGTATACTGTAGTCTACTACCCCCAGCTTCATCGTGCCCCCGCTAGGGGGCCCTCTCTATCCCATCCTGAGAAGCTTCACACACATTGAGATGTGGGGACCAAAGGTTGAAGACCTTCCAAGGGACCCTTTCCTCTAAGCCCTCTAAGCCCTCAAAGCCCTCTAAGCCTTAAAAACCCCCTGGTTTAGGGTTTAGGGTTTAGGCTCGTATTCTACCACCCTAAAAACCCCAAGCCCTGAACCCTCGACCCTGACCCAAAATTGGCCCCTGACGGCCATGCAGGGGCCATCCCTGTGCCCGGCATGGTCACGGCCGCCAAGGCGTTTTGCTCTCTTTTTGGGGTTTTGGGGTTTAGGGGTTTAAGAGTTTAGGGTTTAGGGGTTTAGGCTCTAGGGGTTTCGGCTTTAGGGGTTTAGGCTTCAGGGGTTTAGGGTTTAGGGGTTTTCGATTGGAGTGCGACGGAGGGATAAAGTCTGGGGTGCTGCTCTTGCTTCGGATGTTTGGGGGTTTCGGGTTTATACTTGGGGTTGTTACTCGTACATGGCCCCTTAATCTGGGCCCAGAAAAAAAGGGGGACCCCTTATATACCCCGCCCATACATCAGAACCCTTTACAGAGGGTAAGGGACCATAGTAAGGGGCCATGCAACTCCCCTTAGGGTTTAGGGTTAAGGGTTTAGGGTTTTGGGTAAGGTGTCGGGCTTGGGCCCGGCAAAAGCTCGCAAACAGGAACGGCGAAGTGCCCCCTTGGAGTAAGGGGCATAAGGAGGGACCCTAGAAGGGGCCCTTCATCGTATTCCCCTATATAACCCTTATATATACCTTATGTAGTTCCCCTAAATACCCCCTAAGTTACCCCTAAATTACCCCTAAGGTCCCTTATAAGGGTCCCGCCTTTAGTGCCCTTGATTTGAGATTGAAGTGCATCATGCCCGCAGCAAGGCAGCGTCCAGCCTTAGGGCTTAAGGTCACTCTAAGCCCTTCAAGCGCTAAATCTTTTGAGCCCTCAAACCCTCAAACCCTCAAACCCTCAAACCCTCAAACCCTCAAACCCTCAAACCCTCAAATCCTTAAACTCTTAAACCCGTACACCCGTAGACCCGTAAACCCTTAAACCATTAACCCTTCCCTGAAGTCCTTAAATCCTTAAACCCATAAACCTTCAAATCCTTAAGTCCTTAAACCCTTAAACCCGTAAACCCTTAAACCCTTAAACCCTTAAACCCTTAAACCCTTAAACCCTTAAACCCTTAAACCCTTAAACCCTACTCCTGCAGGTACAGGCTCGTGCCAGCTCGAAGGACCCTTGTGTGTGCCTCTTTTTGGGGTTTAGGGTTTTGGGTTTAGGGTTTAGGGTTTAGGGTGTAGGGTTTGGGGTTTAGGGTTTAGGGTTTAGGGTGTAGGGTTTAGAGTCTTGAGGGCTGCAAGGGCTGTGGAGGTGTTTTCTTTTGGGGTCCAGGGTCTAGCGTTTAAGGGCTAGGGTCTGGGTTCCAGGGTTTAGGGGTCCTTTTATTTATGTGTTTGTTTATTTATGTATTGATTTAATTCTTCATGTATTTATTTGTAGTGATGATTTTTGCTATTTTTAATATTATGTTGTTTTTTTCTTTGGGGGGGGGTCTGGGCTCCACCGTGGCCTTTGTTGGGTGTAGGGTTTAGGGTTGAGACGGTTTAGGATTCAGAGTTGAGGGTTAAGTTCTGGCCCGTGGCGACCGACGGTAAAATGATGGCGGAAGCCTGGGTGGTTCCTCAGTCAGCCCGAGTTTATACGTTCAGGGTATCTCAGCTGGGGTTTAGGGTCTAGGGTTTCGGGGCTTCGGGTTCAGGGGTTAGGGTTTGGAGTTTAGGGTGTCAGGGTTTCCGGGTTTCGGGTTTGGGGGTTGGGGTTTTTGGAGTTTGGGGTTTAGGGTTGCGCAGCATCCGAGATCGCATGAGCCTTGCCGTATTCTCACCAACCCCTAAACCCTAACCCTTAACCCTATACCCTAGACCCTAAAACCTAGAGTATATATATTTGGGCAATTATACAACCCAACCCTAAACCCTTAATCCTACTCCTAAACCCTAAACCCTAAACCCAAAACCCTTAATCCTAAACCCTAAACCCTTAATCCTAAACCCTAAAGCCGAAATCAAATCTTCATCCCCCCAAGAGCCTACTCCCCTGGCCAGGATGGGCGCGCGGCGCAGCCAAGTGATGCCGGTTGGCAGCTCAGGGGTTTAGGGTTTAGGGTTTAGGGTTTAGGGTTTAGGGTTTAGTGTTTAGGGTTTAGGGTTTAGGGTTTAGGGTTTAGGGGGTTTAGGGTTTATTGAAATTCAGGGTTCAGACCCTTAAAACCCCTAAAACCAACCCCTAGAACCCCTGAAACCCTAAACCCCTAAACCCTAAACCCTAAACCTTAAAACCCTAAACCCCAGCTCTCGGAGCAAGCAGCGTCTGAAGGTCGCACGGAGATCCCCGAGGTGCCAAGATCTCTGAAGGGCGAGCCGTGAGCGTTGGGAGGATTCCTTGGTAGGGTTTAGGGTTTAGGGTTTAGGGTTTAGGGTTTAGGGTTTAGGGTTTAGGGTTTAGGGGGTTTGGTTTCCCTTATTGGTTAATAGCAGCATAGCTAGGAATATTTTTCAGACGCTGGTAAAGGCCATCCTAGATTCAGGGGTTTGAGGGTTTGATGGGTAGGGTTTTAGGGTTGAGGGTTTAAGAGTTCGAGGCCTTAGGGGTTTGGGGTTTGAGGGTTTAGGGTGTAGGGGTTCGGGGGTTTAGGGGCTTTGGGGGTTTGAGGGTTTAGGGTTTTGGGGTTTGAGGGTTTAGGGTTTTGGGGGGCTGAGGGGCTGAACACCTGAAACCCGAAGCGCCGGAAGCTTTCAAAGGCATAGCCAAGCCCAAGTTGTGCACAGCCCAACTCCTTACAAGAACTCCAGCCCCGCAACCCGAAATAAAGTCCAGAATGGGTATGTTCCAAAATACGAGTACCCTAGTATACCACCAAAAAATGCCAAAGTCGACTCCCCTACCCGCAACAAAAGCAAAAGTGAACAAAAAGGTGCGCCCCATTTTGGGAACCCGACCCAATCCCCTACATCCTAAACCCTAAATTTAAGAGCCTCCGGCTCAAGCCGCCGACCCCGCAGGAGAACAAGTTTAAGGTTTGGGGTTTGGTGATTTTGTTTGCGGTTCCTGTTAGGGGTTGGGGGGGGGTGGGGGGGTGGGGGGGGGGGGGGGGGTGGGGCGGCAGGGGGGGGGGGGGGGGTAAGGGGGGGGGGGTAAGGGGGGGTGCGGTAAGGGGGGTAGGGGGGGGGGGTAGGGGGGGGGGGGGGTAGGGGGGAACCCTAAACCCTAAACCCTAAACCCTAAGGGCTTTCTTGGAAAGTGCGGCTGCCAGGGGGACCCCGCCGCGTCCACATCACACAGCCGCTTCGCTTCCGCCTCGCGGCGGCGATTCCCATGTTGTGTGACATGAGGGGTGGGGTTAGGGTTTAGGGTTTAGGGTTTAAGGTTCAGGGTTTAGGGTTTAGGGTTTACCTAAACCCTAAACCCTGAACCCAAAACCCTAAAGCCTAAACCCTAAAGCCCAGGCCTGTTCAGGGTGTCGGGGCGGTCCCCTCCAAGGAACTTGGCTTCGGGTTTGGGATCTGAGAAGTGGCTTCTGGGGGCAGGCCTTCGGGCCGCGTGCCCATGATTTCACTGTTCGAGTTGAACAAACTTTCACTCTGCCATTTTTTGCATTTGTGTCTACATTGTTTGGTTATTGTTATGATTGAGTTTTTAAGTAAGGCAGGAGCGGGATCAAGATTGAGGTTAGGGTTTAGGGCTTGGGGTTTCGGGTGTGGGGTTTAGGGTTTAGCGGTTCAGGGGTTTAGGGTAGCTTTATAGCCACTCGATGGCTTGGTGAAGAGGCTGCACACGAAGGGCCCACTGAAATCAGCCTCTGAAAGACTCTTAAGCTGCTGCTCTTAAACCCTGAAGCTTGGGAAGCCCCCCCCCCTCCCACGAGGTGCAAAACCCTGGCCTCTGAGTGTTCCCTGATTTCCCCAGCCCACAAGCCGGCTAAGCTCGGCTCGCCCCTCCACTTCCGTTAGCCGAGGAAGTGTCGCAAGCGGAAAGTCAAGAGGCAGGGGCAGCTTTGGGTTGAGGGAAGGTTTTGGGCTGCGCAGGGTAACCCTATGCAACACGAAGCCCTTAAACCCCAACTGAGCCCCAGACCCTTAGGACCCTTAGAACCAACCCTATACCCTGAATCGTGCAAGGCTACGCGAGTCGACGTGAGTCCCTATGCCCTGAAGACCTCTCCCCCCGCGCATAGAGTGTGCTTGTGACGTCCGTGCATCGGCGGCGCCAAACCGGAAACACCCTGGTCAGCTGCCAGTCGTTGTAACCCTAACCCTGAACCCGAAACCCTAAACCCTAAACCCTAAGCCCTTCGGCTCGAAGCCCAACGTCAGTCCGAAGATCTGAGACCCTGTGGGATGTTCAGGGCACCTTAACCACTAGTTGCTTAAGAACCCCAAAATACCAAAAAGAAATCCTCCTTATAAGGGCAATGGAGGGATTTTCCTTTTTGGGGGGTTCTTAAACAAATAGTAGTTAAGGTGCCCTGAACATCCCAGGATTTTCCTTTTGGGGGTTCTTAAGCAATTAGTAGTTAACTGGTACCTCCCTGATCTCCCCATAGCCCGAAACCTGAATGTTAAAGCCCAAAGCCCTTAATTTTCGGTCCTAAACCCTCAGTCCCTAGACCTGTAAGCCGTAAACCTCAAACCCCAAGCCCCCCCCCCCCCCACTACGCCCCAAGCCCTAAACAACCCCTCAACCTCACCTCGCTCCCCACGAAAGAATCCTCTCCTTGCAGGCTTGGGAACCGCTGAGCTATGGCGAGCAGCTGGCGCTAGCCTCAGGACCCTGTGAGGTGTGGCTGTTGGTTTCGGGCTGAGGGTTGAGGGAGGGCAGGCTATGCTTCCGAGTATACATATTGGTGAGTGTGGGTATGCAAGTAATCAAAGCCCGACTTCACAAAACCAGGTGCGGGCGTCGCCCTGCAAGGAGGTCCAGTGCCTCTGTCAAAACCCATGAAGGTGAAAATGTGCCCCTAAACCCCTAAACTCATCATGCGCATGGCAGAAACAGTGCCCCCCAACAAAAACTAAAGCCCAACAAAGGCTTAAGCTCTCACCCCTCGAACCCGAAGCAGTGAACCCCAAACCCTCTCTCTCTCTCGCTCTCTCTCTGTCTCTGTCTCTCTGTCTCTCTGTCTCCCCATCCCATAAGCGCCCAAGACCCTGTAGGGTTCAGGGTTCAGGGTTTAGGCTTAGGGGTTTAGGGTTTAGCGGTTTAGGCCCCGTCAGCAGAAGACCCCCAAAATCCTGAAACCCTTGAACCTAAAGCCCATCAGCGCCCCAGGTCCTGGAGACCTATCTCCGCTACCGCGGGAGAAGATACGACCGCCAGCGCCAGGACCCTCCAAGGTCTCGAGATGTAGGGTTTAGGGCATAGGGTTTAGGGTAAGCTTGGTTTGCTGTACAAGGGAACCTAGAGGAAGTCACCGGCCGGGAAACCACATAATGCTTTGTCCCCTTGTGTGGCATCCGGGCTTTAGGAGCTTATAAGCCCGAAGCCCCCAAAACACGCGTTGTGTTTTTTGGTTTCAGGTTTTGGGGTTTGCGTTCTTTTGGTTTCTTTTTTGAGGCCTTCGGGTTTGGGGTGTCGGCTTTCAAGCAGAGAAGCTGCGCTTCGCCGCTCCATGAACTGCGCGGTGAGCCGCTGAGAAGCCTTTTCTCTGCACCGCAATTAAACCCAAAACCCTCAACCCTCCACCCTAACCCTAAACCCTAAACCCTAAACCCTAAACCCTAAACCCTAAACCCTAAACCCTAAACCCTAAACCCTAAACCCTAAACCCTAAACCCTAAGCCCTAAGCCCTAAGCCCTAAACCCTAAACCCTAAACCCTAAACCCTAAACCCAAAGCCCTAAACCCTAAACCCTATACCCCATACCCCCGCCCTGCCCCCCGCCCCCCTCAACTCTGAGGCTTTCTTGTGTGCTTCTTTAGGGGCCTTTGATGGGCATTTCAGGGCTCTTTCAGGCTTCTTTCGCTTTTTTAAGGGTTTTGGGCTCTTTGAGGCTCTTCTTACGGCTTCTTGAGGCCTTCTGGGGGCCTTCTTAAGGCTTTCGTGGGCCTCTAGGGGGGTTTCTCTAAGGGCTTCTGCTCGTAGGGATTCTGGCTCGTAGGGATTCTGGCCTGCTCTTCTGGTCCAGGATGCCTTGTCCCAGCCGCGGAAGATCCGCCCTCCCCCAGACGCCCACCCAGGCGCTCGGGGGGGCTTCGGGTTTCGGTTCTTCCTGGGCTGTTGCTAAACCCTAAACCCTAAACCCTAAACCCTAAACCTTAAACCCTAAACCCTAAACCCTAAACCCGAAACCCTAAACCCTAAACCCTAAACCCTAAACCCTAAACCCTAAGGACCTTGAATTAAAGCGCTCTCTAGTGGCGTTCGTGTCTCAGCCTGTTGGGGTTCAGATGTGTTTTCGTTCTAGGGTTGCGCAGCCCCAGGTGCCCCGTGAACCCTTATTGTGGATGCGCGGTGTGTCGTCGTATGAAGGACGAAGTCACGCTGCACTTCCATGCATCTGCAAGCCATCGCAGAACAGGAGATGTTTCAAGGTGTGCTCACTGGGTTGGAGCAGGATGATATGATATGGGGGTTTCCCAAACAGATGGTTCCCGGAAAGGGGGGTTCCTATGTGAAGGAAGAGTTTCTTTGGGGTGCGCGAAGGGTACCCGAATTTTCGGATAAGCTGCTATAACAACGTGAGAATCATGTCGCAGCTGGGGTTCGGAAACTTCCGAGCCTCAGTCATGCGCGTGCTCGTGTTTTGTGTCTCTGGGTTGCCATTGACTGGAGCCGGTGGCGAACTGGGCTTGGTGGGCTTAGGCACAGCAGGCATCCAGCAAGTGTCCACTGTAGTGGAAGCTATCAGATTGGGGTACCGCACCCTAGACACCGCCTTGCTGTATGGGAACCACCACCTCATCCGAGCTGCCATCGCGCAAAGTGGCGTTCCGCGCGAGGATTTATTTCTCACATCTAAGGTCGGGTTTCTCCCAAGCAGCATGGAGCTACCAGAGGAGCACAAAGATGCCTTTGGCTTCGATTTTTTACCAGTGCCTCAAGAGATTGTGCCGCGAGTCCATCCGCTGAATGTCAAGGGCAAGGAGCTCCCAGCCATTCAACTCAGCCTAGAGCAGCTGGGCACTTCCTACTTGGATCTATGCCTCATCCACACCCCCGCAACCTCCGCGCTGGAGCTGGCCGCGTCCTTCATACCCCATGCCTACGGGGCGGGGATGCTGGCGCAGCTGCCGAAATGGTCCGAGACCATGGTGAGGGGGGCGCTGACTGCCCTCGCGTCTCAGGAAGTTCAGAGAAGGGTGGAAGAGGCCCATGAGGAGCGGAAGAAGTCCTGGCAGAACCTTGAGGAGGCGCAGCGAAGAGGGCTCTGCAAGCACATCGGTGTCAGCAACTACCCGACGGCATTCATGAAGGAGATGGATGCATACAGGACGGCGCCAATCTACAACACCCAGCAGGAGCTCCATCCGCTGGCACAGTTTCGGGACGTCCAGGAGTATGCAAGGGACGCGGGTGTGCGGCTCACAGGCTATGGCACGGGAATCCTCACTTCGAATGCGGTGGCGCGGCAAGTTGCAGCACGGCTCGGCCGAACCTCAGGGCAGGTTCTGCTGCGCTGGGCCGTGCAGAGAGGAGTTGCAGTTACCCCGAAATCGAACAAGGCCTGGCGCTTGAAGGAGAATTTGGCGGTCTTGGAGTTTGAGCTCGAAGACAAGGACATGAAGCTGCTGGACGCCCTAGACCAGCAGCATGTGTTTTATTGGAATACCAGTCTTCTTGTTCCAGTGGCCTCCGCGCCTACCTCCACAGTGGCCGGCTCGCCCAGTTCGAGCCGCGCGGAGCTTTGAGTAAAGAGGCGGTCGTTTGAGTTCTTCATTAAGGAACGAGCAAGGAAGCAACGGAAGGTGCATGTAACAGCCGGCACGAGTACCATGCAGTGGCAATGAACCTGGTTGCGTCCTTGCCCCCAAGCCCCAAGCGCCAAGCCGCAAGCCCCAAGCCGCAAGCCCCAAGCCACAAGCCCCAAGCCCCAAGCCTCAAGCTCCAAGCCCCAAGCCCCAAGCCCCAAGCCCCAAACTCTGAACAGGGTTTAGGGCCCCAACCACCCAACCTGTGGAGGCCGACACCGCAGGCCTCTCAGCAAGGACCAGGCCGCGAGAAGGGAGTTTGGGTGCTTATGGGGGTTTGGGATTTAGGGTTTAGGGTTTAGGGTTTAGGGTTTAGGGTTTAGGGTTTTGGGTTTAAGGTGCCGGAAAATAGGGGACCCCGAAAATTGGCCGCAAATAGTAGGATTCCCTTTTTTCGGACCCCAGCAGGTTACCCCAATTTCGTAAAACCCCCTTATAGGCTTAGGATTTAGGGTTTTGGGGGGTTTGCGTGTTGGGCTTAGCATGTTTGGATTTTGCTGCTGGGGTGGTGGTGGGTTGGGTGGGTTGGGTGGGTTGGGTGGGTTGGGTTGGGTTGGGTGGGTCGGGTGGGTTGGGTTGGGTCGGGTTGGGTTGGCTTGGGTTGGGTTGGGTGGGTTGGGTGGGTTCAGGGGTTTTAGAGGTTTGAGTGTTTGCGTTTTGCAACATCTTCCCTCGCAGTGCCAGATGGTGTGGCTCTGGTTTGTTGCTTGCTTTGGGGCCAAAGTTGAGCCCACAGGGCTTGGGCCCGAAGCCCAAAACCTGCCCCTGAAACCCTTAACCGCAATAAAGGCCTCAAAGGACTGCCCTCAGAACCCCTTAGAACCCCAAACCCCCCCTCCCCCCTCCGCCTTCCCCCCCCTTGATGTTTTCAGATGGGCGACCTCCTCGAGCGCCTCTCGAAGCCCAAGAGGCCCATCGAGACAGAGAGCGAGGAAGAAGAGAGAGAGGAAGCCCTCGGGGGGGGGGGGGGGGGGGGCCATGCGTGCAGAGAGAGAGGAAGAGAGTGAGACGGAGAGAGAGAGAGAGCCATTATTGGATCAAGCATCTTCGGTGCTCATGGAGTCGACGATTGTCCAATCTGTCTGGAGGCAGCAAATTCAATGTTTCGACAAGCGTCTCGTTCCGGGCGGCCACACCTTTTGTGGCGAATGTGCTGCCGCGCTGGAGGCGGGTTTCGTTGCAATTGGAAACTAATTTAGAACACATGAATGTCGGCGGCCTCGGTTCCGGCCTTTATTAGATTCTTCGGGTGTAGGTTCAGTGTAGGGTTGCTCTTGAAAGAAAGGAAGGCAGTGTGGCGTGTTACAAATATGAATATCCAAGAACGTAAATATGTTAGCGTGTAGCCTAACTGCAAAACCCATGAATCTGGTTGTGTTTCAAAGTAGTACCGCAGCCCGCCTGTTTCCTTGAAGCGTCTTGCTCAGCAGCGTTGCTTTGCGTCCCTGTCTTCGCGCCGCGCAGCCCCTCGGTTGAGGCGCGTTAGCTGGACATCACATCGTGACATAAGTTGCTAAAGTTGCCATGCCTGACTTCCAAGGTCATGCCTGTGATCCAAAGCGTGCGCAAGTTCGCGCAGGCGCCCTCAAGGAAGATGGTCCGCGTCAACCTTGGCTTTGGTGGACAGGTCTTGGACGAGGAGGCAGGCCGAGTCCGATAAAGCGCTGACTAGAACTTGCTAAATTGAACCTGTGAGAGCGCGTGCTGTGCGTGTGCAAGGTCCACTTCAATTTGACGGTGTTCACCCTGGACATTTTCGGGTTTATGAAGGCGTTCACAAAACTCAGAAAGGTCTAGGGGAGCGCGGGTTGTACTCGACCTGGAAATTTGGAGGTCTTGGGAAGGTATCGGGGTGATCGGGTTCCGGGTGTATCGAAGAACCTGCCAATAGTCTAGGGGGTTCAAAAAACGGCGGCCAAAAGACCCAGGGCGGGAGAGAAATGGCCAGAAAAGCGCCAACGGGTCCCTAGGGAGGGGGGGGGGTCTCAGGCTGCCTGAACGCCCTCCGGCCGTCAGTCAGTCAGTCAGATCTGGCTGGCGTCAGTCAGATCCGTCTCACAACCATGTGCCTCCTGGGCAATGTCGCTGCAATAAGACCGAGATCTCTCAGCACTTCCGCAAGCGCTCTTATCCCGGTTATTCCCCTAGTTACTCGAGCTAGATCCAGGGTCGTCACAACAAGGCACCAGAGGAAGGAAGGAAGAGAGAGAGAGAGGGAGAGAGAGAGAGAGAGAGAGAGAGAGAGAGAGAGAGAGAGAGAGAGAGAGAGAGAGAGAGAGAGAGAGAGAGAGAGAGAGAAGGACGGAAGGGAGTGAGAGAGCGATACGATGTGCAGATAGGTTGGGTCTTGGGGCTGGGGGGTTGTGGGGTTTTAGGGCGGTTTCAGGGGTTGGGGTTTTGAATATCTGGGGTTGGCCAATCTCGGGTTCTTGCGGAGTTGGGGGTTGAGGTTTCGAGGCTGACCCCCACATTGGAGTTTTGCGCTAAATTGTGTTTTTATTTTAGGGCACCAAAAAGGGTGCACAACTTGGATCATCCTCCCAAGAAGGGACCATGCACCCTTGAGCCCTAAACCTCAACCCCCGTACCCTTCATTCCCAAAACGCTCTCATGAGCCCTAACCCAAAACCCTCTAAACCCCTTTGCGCCCCGTAACAATTCCCCAACCCCCCCCCCCCCCCCCCCCCCTAAAACCCAAAACCCAAAACCCAAGACCCAAAACCCAAAACCCAAAACCCTAAACCCTAAACCCTAAACCCCTAACCCCTAAACCCCCCCCCCCCCCTTCTGACCCCCGACCCCCGAAGATCGCTCCTTGCCAGGGGCAAGGTGGTCGACTCGGGTGAGCATCTGGTGGGGGAGCCCGGCTCTACTTGCAGGTTCAAGGTAACTACTTATTAACCAATCGGGGTTTAGTGTTTACGGTTCAGGGTACTTATTAACCAGTTATAACTGTACTTCGAACCCACTTATAAGCCCCTTAAGTGCCCCAATATGGTTGGAAGTACAGGTTAGAAGTACAGTTCTAATTGGTTAGTAAGTACCATGAACCTCCAAGTAGGGGGTGCTGTAAGGTGTTAGGTTTCAGGGCTCTTTGAGTTTAAGGGTTAGGGGTTCAGGGTTGTTTTGCGCCTTTAGGTCTTTTTTGGGTTTTGGGGTTTTAGGGTTCGGGGTGTGTTCAGGTTTTAGCTTTCAGGGCGTTTGGGCTTGCGGCGTGTGTGAATTGGCACACGTAAGCCCTACTGGTAACCACCCTAAAACCCTCAACCCTGAAGGCCCTCAGCTGACGGAAGGCCCGAACCCTCGTGGTGCTCCGCAGGGAGTTATGGGGTATCATGCGCCCCCCCCCCCCCCCCCATCTAAGCCCAGCAGCCCTTAACCCTAGGCCCGCCCAGTGAAACCCAGCAGGCTCTACACCCCAAACCCGGTAGACCCTAAACCCTAAACCCCAAACCCCAAACCCTAAACCCTAAACCCTAGACCCCAAACCCCTAAACCCTAAACCCTCAATCCAATGGACCCTATGCCTTGCGCCCACAACAACACCAAGCCGCCGCTGAGACAGGCCCTGCAGGCCTCACGCCAGGAGATGGTCAAGCAGAAAGCCATCCAGGCACGCAGAGGGTCTGCGGGTTTGGGGTTTCGGGTTTAGGGTTTGGGGTTGCGGGTTTAGGGTTTAGAGGCCCCGAGACCCTAAACTTGAAGCACCCTAAACCCTGAACCTTCAAGCCTAAACCCTCAATTCTTTGTGGGTGCTTTGCAGGGCCTGAGGTTTCGCCCGAAACCCGCCGAACTCCCTCAGACCCTACTTCACTGTGTGGTGCTTTACTGTAAGTTTAGATCCTTAGCCTTTTTGGGTTTATCGGGTTTCTGAGTCAGGCAGCTAAAAAATTTAATTTATAACTAGCAGCCACGTTCGCTCCTCACATCAGGAAAGTCCTACCCAAAACCAAAGCGCTCAAACCCTGAAAATGGCAGACCCCGAAATCCTAAGCCCTAAGCCCTAAGCCCTAAAACCCATCCCTCTAAGCCTATACCCTGATAAAACCCCAAAACCACCGCAACTAGAAACCCCAAACCCTAGACCCTAAACCCTAAACCCTAAACCCCAAACCCTAAACCCTAAACCCTAAAACCTAAACCCCAAACCCTAAACCCTAAACCCTAAACCCTAAACCCTAAACCCCAAACCCTAAACCCTAAACCCTAAACCCTAAACCCTAAATCCTAAACCCCGACACCAAAGGTGCGGGACGTCGAGGCCACCTTCGCCCGCCTCTCCGCGCCCAAGGCGGCACGGGGGCTCGGGGCCCCGGGGGCTCCGAAACAGGTTTCCCAAAAGTAGGGGTTTAGGGTTTAGGGTTTAGGGTTTAGGGTTTTAGGGTTTAGGGTTTAGGGTTTAGGGTTGGGTTCACTTAACCCGGAAACCCTAAATGCTTAAGAGGCTGAAGGGCTTACAAGCTCAAGATTTGATGGCTCGGGGTTTTGAGATGGTCTTGAGGATTTCTAGGGCTGCGGGTGTAGGAATTCTGTGGTCTAGCCCTTGAACCCTGAAACCATGAAACCCTGCAGCCATGAACCCCTCGAGCCCTGAAGCCCTCAACCCCTTGAACCCTGAAGTCCTTGAACGCTTGAGCCTTGAAATGTTCCGCCTCATACTAAGAGTCCTTCAATGGGATTGCAGAAACCCCTAACATGAATCCTTATGAAGGACTGTTAGTCTAGGGGGGAACAGCCCGAGTTGAGCACCCTAAACCCTAAACCCTAAACCCTAAACCCTAAACCCTAAACCCTAAACCCTAAACCCTAAACCCTAAACCCTAAACCCTAAACCCTAAACCCTAAACCCTAAACCCTGAACCAACTTGACTTTGCCGGGCCCACCAGACCCAGGTACGACCCAACACCGGGTGAGAAGGTTTGCCTCATGCACTCTGGGCTGCATCTCTGGTCTCTAGGGTTAAAATTGGTTTAGGGTATAGGGTATAGGGTATAGGGTTTAGGGTCTAGGGTTTAGGGCATTATGGGCCCCGAATATGGGACCCTGGGCTTCTTCTTTTTGTGAGAATATGGGAGCCCTGAAGGCAGGATGCAAAGGTCAGGTAGGAGCTTATGGGTCCATCTTTGAAGGTTCGGGTTTAGGTTTCGGGTTCGGGGGTCCGAGAGGTCTCGGGAGCTTTGTGGACTTCTTGCTTTCGGTTTTCTCGGGTTTCAGAGGAGTGTTTTGGGGTTAAGGCGATGGTTTGGTTGCGGTTGTTTTTTGTGATGGCTTCTGGAGCTTTAGGGGAGGGAGTGGCTGTAGCGGCACTTTCGTGAACTAGCCCTTCCATGTCTTTGCAAGGAAGCCGATCGGTTAGGGTCTACAGGGTTTTGGGTAGAATCTCGCAACACCCGGAACCCTAATCCCTAAAACCTTAAAACCCCAACCCCCCCCCACCCCCCGGCCCCAGTAGATGCATTACCTCCCACAGCTGAGGTACAACCAGCATGTCGGGAGGAGAGGGCCCAGGGTTGGGATCTTGTGGTTTAGGCTCCAAGGCCTTAGCCCTCCTAGACTTACTTAGGGCCCCTGACGCCCCGCACACCCCTGAGCCCCCCGACAGTCTTAAACCTCCTATGTAGGGGGCCCCTAAGATTTTGGGGCCAATTTTTGCTCCAAAGAGGCCAATGGCAAGCCCTGGTCCCTAAGATTTCGGGTTTTCCCAAAAATTGGGGGTGCCTTTTTTGGGCGTTTGGTTGGGTTTTTTTGGGTGCTTTGCGGGGATTCAGGTTCAGAGATTTTCGGTTTTGTGGGATCCAGCGCGCGGTGATCATCTCTGGTCCAGGCCCTTTTTCCTGGGAGTCTTAAAGTAAGCCTCGGCCATTTCTTGCCGGCCCAAACCCCTAAACCTACAACCCTCAACCCCAAACCCCAAATCCCCCAAGCCTCCCAGCGCCCCTGCACCCCTCCCTCCCCATCCTCCCTTTCAAGCACCCCAGGTCCCGGAAGCCCCAGATCCCCCACGCAAACAAACACCCTCAAAGGGTTTAGGGTTTAGGGTTTAGGGTTTAGGGTACCAAGGCATCAAAGCCGCGTATCAGAAGTCGCCAAAGTCCTTTGGGGCTTAGGGTTTGGAGTGAGAAGATGTGGGAGGAGAGGACAGCTTTGTCAGCAACACCAAGGCTGTAGCCTCAGAGCCCTCAGCCCCCCCAGCCTGGTACCTCCCTAAACCCTAAACCCTAAACCCTAACCCTAAACCCTAAACCCTAAACCCTAAACCCTAAACCCTAAACCCTAAACCCTAAACCCTAAACCCTAAACCCTGCGGAAGAGGAGCGTGAACTTCGAAAGGCTGGCGGACATGGCGAAGCCAAAGAAGCGGGGAGGAGGTCTGAGGTTTCGGCGGGTGTGGGGCTTCTTCAGTCTTGGGGTAGTTTCATGTGCCCCTAAGATGGTCCCTTACCTCCTTTAGGGTTCCGATGTACCTTGGGTCGTATAGGGTATATACACGGGTATAGAAGGGGTCCCGATTTAAGGGCCCAATATGAAGGGACCATGTAACCACTTTTTGCCTAGGGTTTGTCTTGTGCTACATGTCTTGTTGATGGGTTGTGGATTGGGGGGGGTTCAGGGCGGAGCGTTGGAGTTTGCAGCTTACTTAGGCTTGAGCACGCGTGGGATTGGACGAGCCTTAACCCCGAAACCCGAAACCCCAAACCCCAAACCCCAAACCCCAAGCCCCAAACCCTAAACCCTAAACCCTAAACCCTAAGACCTAAACCCTAGACCCTGGACCCTAGACCCTAGACACTAAATCCTAGACCCTGAACCCGGCTAGCTCAAACTTCAGGAGCTGCAGACTCCTGGGCCCTCACGTCCATCAGCGGCAAGGACTGGCGTGGAGGATTTCAGAGTTTGCTTGGGGTTTGGGGTTTAGGGTTTGGGGTTTCGTTTTTGGGGTTTAGGGCCTGGGGTTTAGGGCTTGGGGTTTAGGGTTTGGGGTTTAGGGCTTGGGGTTTAGGGTTTGGGGTTTAGGGTTTGGGGTTTAGGGTTTAGGGTTTAGGGTTTGGGGTTTAGGGTTTGGGGTTTAGGGTTTGGGGTTTAGGGTTTGGGGTTTAGGGCTTGGGGTTCATGGGTCAACTAGAACCCCAGCTATATTTAATGGCTACCGCCAGTGCCGCCGACCCCCTCCAAGGGGGGCCAAGGCACTGTGGGCTCCGGCCGCGGATTGTATATATATACATATATATAGATATATGCGCAGGGCTTGGTCAGGTTGTAGAGTTCAGGGGGGGCGAAACATGGAGCCCTGATGGGCGGGGGGCGGGGTGCGTGGGTGGTGGGGGTAGAGCAAGCGGGCCAAGCGGGGGAGGTCGAGAAGGGGGGAGTAGGCGGAGCTGGAAGGGCGGAGGGCGGAGCGGGCAGCGGGCGGAGGGGGCGGGCGGGTGGGGGTGGAGCCAGCATGGGTGGGGGTGGGGGTTGGGGGTGGGGGTGGAACCATGGGGCCAGGAGCCATGGGTCCATGACAAGCGTGGGCGGCGGGGCAGGGTGCGTGCGGGGTGGGGGGGGTTGGGGGTGAGGGGCCATTTTTCGGACCACTGGCAGCCATGCAGGTCGAGGGATGAAGAATGGGACCAGGAGCCAGCCATGCAGGTCGAGGGATGAAGAATGGGACCAGGAGCCATGGGTCCATGAGAAGCATGGCGGGATGCGTGGGGGGCTTGGGCAAGGGAGGGAGTATGCGGAGCGGGAAGGGTAGAGGTGGTGGGGGTAGGGGCGGAGAAGCTACCTGCTTGGGCCGTGGACCATAATGAATGGGAGCAACACACACACGCTTCTCGTATGAGTGCCCACAGTGCAAGGCCAAGGTCGAAGCAGCCGTGCGAGACGGACGCATCGACAATCGACGGAAATGCGGACACAGGTTTACGGTCGCCGCAGGAAAAGTTGTCGCGACCCAGTCGGCGACCGCACACTTCTCGTATGAGTGCCCGCAGTGCAAGGCAAGGGTCGAGTCTACCAGGCGAGACGGATGCATCGACAATCGACGGAAATGCGGACACCAGTTTAGGGTCGCCGCAGGAAAAGTCGTCGCGACCCAGTCGGCGACCGCACACTTCTGGTATGAGTGCCCACAGTGCAAGGCAAGGGTGGAGTCTACCACGCGAGACGGATGCATCGACAATCGACGGAAATGCGGACACCAGTTTAGGGTCGCCGCAGGAAAAGTCGTCGCGACCCAGTCGGCGACCGCACACTTCTGGTATGAGTGCCCACAGTGCAAGGCAAAGGTCGAGTCTACCACGCGAGACGGATGCATCGACAATCGACGGAAATGCGGACACAAGTTTACGGTCGCCGCAGGAAAAGTCGTCGCGACCCGGTCGGCGACCGCACACTGCTGATAGCCTTAGAGCTTTAGGGGCCATAGGGGAGCCATGGGGCCATGAGGCCATGGCAGGGGTTATGGGACCATGCGGAGAGGGCGGGCCTTTAAAGTCAGCTGATGGGCCAGGAGGAGCCATGGGGCGGGAAGGGCGGAGGGGGCGGAGAGGGCGGAGAGGGTGAGCATGCACATAGTTTCGGGGCGTGAAGCCGTGGGAGGCATGGGACCGTGGAGCCATGGAGCCATGAGCCATTGGGGGCTAGAGGGATGGAGCCATGAGGCCATGGGGGCCATGGAGCCATGGAGCGCCGTGGGGCGGAGAGGGCGGAGAGGGCGGGAAAGTCAGCGATAAGGTCCAGGGGCGTGAGGCACGGGAGCCATGGGGCGGGATGGGACCATGCATGAGCCATAGGCGTGGGGCCATGAGGCCGTGGGGGCAAGGAAGGGCAGAGGCGGCGGGGCGGGATGGGACCATGGGGCCATGGGACCATGGAGCCATGGAGCGCCATGGAGCGGGAAGGGCGGAGGGGGCGGAAAGGGCGGAAAGGGCGGGGGGCGGGGGGCATGCACTGGGACCCAAAAAAAGCCGGGAAGCCATGGGAGCCATGGGGCGGGATGGGACCATGGAGCCATGGGGCCATGAGCCATTAGGAAGGGCAGAGGCGGCGGAGAAGGCGGATGAAAAGGTGCAGGGACGTGAGGCCGTGGGAGTCATGGGGCATGGGACCAATGAAGCCATGGAGTGCCATGGGGCGGGAAGGGCGGAGGGGGCGGGAACCATATGGAGCGCCATGGAGCGGGAAGGGCGGAGGGGGCGGAGCGGGAAGGGCGGAGGGGGCGGAAAGGGCGGAAAGGGAGAGGGCGGGCATGCACTGGGACTTTAAAGTCAGCTGACAGGGTCCAAAGCCGTGAAGCCATGGGAGCCATGGGGCGGGATGGGACCATGGAGCCATGGGGCCAGAGCCAATAAGGGTGAGAGGCATGGGGCCATGAGGCCATGGGGGGGAAAAGGAAGGGCAGAGGCGGCGGAGAAGGCGGGGATTTGCGGCCGTGGGAGCCACGACGAAGCCAGGAGCGCCATGGGGCGGCAAGGGCGGAGGGGGCGGGAACCATATGGAGCGCCATGGAGCGGGAAGGGCGGAGGGGGCGGGAAGGGCGGAGAGGGCGGGCATGCACTGGGATCCTTTAAACTCAGCTGAGAGCCATGGGAATGGGACCATGGAGCCATGGAGCGCCGTGGAGCGGGAAGGGCGGAGGGGGCGGAAAGGGCGGAGGGCGGAGGGGGCGGGGAGGGCGGAGAGGGCGGGCATGCACTGGGACCCTTTAAAGTCAGCTGATAGGGTCCAAAGCCGTGAAGCCATGGGAGCCATGGGGCGGGATGGGACCATGGAGCCATGGGGCCATGAGCCATTAGGAAGGGCAGAGGCGGCGGAGAAGGCGGATGAAAAGGTCCAGACGTGAGGCGTGGGAGAAGCCATGGAGCGCCATGGGGCGGTTGAGGGTGAGAGGCATGGGGCCATGAGGCCATGGGGGGGCAAGGAAGGCCAGAAGGCGGATGATAAGCTGGGCGGGATGGGACCATGGGGCCATGGGACCATGGAGCCATGGAGCGCCATGGAGCGGGAAGGGCGGAGGGGGCGGAAAGGGCGGAAAGGGCGGAGGGGCCCGGGAGGGCGGAGAGGGCGGGCATGCACTGGGAACCTTTAGGGTCCAAAGCCGTGAAGCCATGGGAGCCATGGGGGATGGGACCATGGAGCCATGGGGCCATGAGCCATTCGGAAGGGCAGAGGCGGCGGAGAAGGCGGATGAAAAGGTGCAGGGACGTGAGGCCGTGGGAGCCATGGGGCAAGGGACCAATGAAGCCATGGAGCGGGGCGGGAAGGGCGGAGGGGGCGGGAATCATATGGAGCGCCATGGAGCGGGAAGGGCGGAGGGGGCGGAGCGGGAAGGGCGAGGGGGCGGAAAGGGTGGGGAGGGCGGAGTTTGGGCGGGATGGGACCATGGAGCCATGGGGCCATGAGCCAGTAAGGGTGAGAGGCATGGGGCCATGAGGCCATGGGGGGTAAAGGAAGGGCAGAGGCGGCGCCGGAGGAAAAGGTCCAGGGACATGAGGCCGTGGGAGCCATAGGGCATGGGACCAATGAAGCCAGGAGCGCCATGGGGCGGGAAGGGCGGAGGGGGCGGGAACCATGTGGAGCGCCATGAAACGGGAAGGGCGGAGGGGGCGGAGCGGGCGGAAGGGGGCGGAAAGGGCGGAAGGAGAGGGCGGGCATGCACTGGGACCCTTTAAAGTCAGCTGAGAGGGTCCCAAGAAGGTGAAGCCATGGGAGCCATGGGGCGGGATGGGACCATGGAGCCATGGGGCCATGAGCCATTGAGGGTGAGAGGCATGGGGCCATGAGGCCATGGGGGGGCAAAGGAAGGGCAGAGGCGGCGGAGAAGGCGGATGATAAGGTCTGTGGGGCCATGGGACCATGGAGCCATGGAGCGCCATGGAGCGGGAAGGGCGGAGGGGGCGGAAAGGGCGGAAAGGGCGGAGGGGGAGGGCGGGCATGCACTGGGACCCTTTAAGTCAGCTGATAGGGTCCAAAGCCGTGAAGCCATGGGAGCCATGGGGCGGGATGGGACCATGGAGCCATGGGGCCATGAGCCATTAGGAAGGGCAGAGGCGGCGGAGAAGGGATGAAAAGGTCCAGATGTGAGGCGTGGGAGAAGCCATGGAGTGCCATGGGGCGGGAAGGGCGGAGGGGGCGGGAACCATATGGAGCGCCATGGAGCGGGAAGGGCGGATGGGGCGGAGCGGGAAGGGCGGAGGGGGCGGAAAGGGCGGGGAGGGCGGAGAGGGCGGGCAGGCACTGGGACCCTTTAAAGTCAGCTGATAGGGTCCAAAGCCGTGAAGCCATGGGAGCCGGGGCGGGATGGAGCCATCGGGCCATGAGCCATTAAGGGTGAGAGGCATGGGGCCATGAGACCATGGCGGGGTAAAGGAAGGGCAGAGGCGGCGGAGAAGGCGGATGATAAGGGGAGCCATGGGACCAATGAAGCCAGGAGCGCCATGGGGCGGGAAGGGCGGAGGGGTATGGAGCGCCATGGAGCGGGATGGGCGGAGGGGGCGGAGCGGGAAGGGCGGAGGGGCGGGAAGGGCGGAAAGGGTGGAGGGGCGGGGAGTGCGGAGAGGGCGGGCATGCACTGGGACCCTTTAAAGTCAGCTGAGAGGGTCCAAAGCCGTGAAGCCATGAGAGCCATGGGGCGGGATGGGACCATGGAGCCATGGGGCCATGAGCCATTGAGGGTGAGAGGCATGGGGCCATGAGGCCATGGGGGGGCAAAGGAAGGGCGGCCGCTCCACGGCGCTCCAAAAGGTTCCCGCCCCCTCCGCCCTTCCCGCCCCATGGCGCTCCATGGCTTCATTGGTCCCATGCCTCATGGCTCCCACGGCCTCACGTCCCTGGACCATCCGCCTTCTCCACGGGCGTGAGGCCGTGGGACCATGGAGCCATGGAGCGCCATGGAGCGGGAAGGGCGGAGGGGGCGGAAAGGGCGGAGAGAGCGGAGAGGGCGGGCATGCACTGGGGCCCTTTAAAGTCAGCTGACAGGGTCCAAAGCCGTGAAGCCATGGGAGCCTTGGGCGGGATGGGGCCATGCATGGAGCCATGGGGCCAGGAGCCAGAGGCTACGGCAGGCAGGATGGACCAGAACCAAGAGGGGGCCAGGAGCCATGGGTCCATGAGGAGCGCTTTGGATGGGGCGAGTCGGTGGTAGGGATAGGTCCATGAGCGGCATGGGCGGGGGGCGAGGTGTGTGGGTCGGGCGTGCACTGAAGGGTCCAGGGGCGGGGCGGAATGGCACCATGCACGAACCATTTCGGGCCAGAGGCATGGGGCCATGAGCCCATGGGCCATGGGACCATGGAGCCCTGGAAGGAAGAGTGACAAGGTCCACGGGCGTGAGGCCGTGGGACCATGGAGTCATGGAGCGCCATGGAGCGGGAAGGGCGAGGGGGCGGAGAGGGCGGAGAGGGCGGGCATGCACGGATGATAAGGTCCAAGGACGCGAGGCCGTGGGAGCCATGGGGCAATGAAGCCATGGAGCGCCATGGGGCGGGAAGGGCGGAGGGGGCGGGAACCAGAAGGAGCGCCGTGGAGCGGGAAGGGCGGAGGGGGCGGAGCAGGAAGGGCGGAGGGGGCGGAAAGGGCGGAAAGGGCGGAGGGGGCGGGGAGAGCGGAGAGGGCGGGCATGCACTGGGACCCTTTGTCAGCTGATAGGGTCCAAAGCCGTGAAGCCATGGGAGCCGGGGCGGGATGGGACCATGGAGCAATGGGCCATGAGCCATTGAGGGTGAGAGGCATGGGGCCATAAGGCCATGGGGGGGCAAGGAAGGGCAGAGGCGGCGGAGAAGGTGATAAGGTCCGTGAAGCCGGGCGGGATGGGATCATGGGGCCATGGGACCATGGGGCCATGGGACCATGGAGCCATGGAGCGCCATGGAGCGGGAAGGGCGGAGGGGGCGGAAAGGGCGGAAAGGGCGGAGGGGGCGGGGAGGGCGGAGAGGGCGGGCATGCACTGGGACCCTTTAAAGTCAGCTGAGAGGGTCCAAAGCCGTGAAGCCAGGAGCCATGGGGCGGGATGGGACCATGGAGCCATGGGGCCATGAGCCATTAAGGGTGAGAGGCATGGGGCCATGAGGCCATGGGGGGGTAAAGGAAGGGCAGAGGCGGCGGAGAAGGCGGATGATAAGGTCCAGGGACGTGAGGCCGTGGGAGCCATGGGGCATGGGACCAATGAAGCCATGGAGCGCCATGGGGCGGGAAGGGCGGAGGGGGCGGGAACCATATGGAGCGCCATGGAGCGGGAAGGGCGAAGGGGGCGGAGCGGGAAGGGCGGAGGGGGCGGAAAGGGCGGAAAGGGCAGAGGGGGGAGGGCGGAGAGGGCGGGCATGCACTGGACACTTTAAAGTCAGCTGATGGGGTGGGAGCCATGGGGCGGGATGGGACCATGGAGCCATGGGGCCATGAGCCATTGAGGGTGAGAGGCATGGGGCCATGAGGCCATGGGGGGGCAAAGGAAGGGCAGAAGAAGGCGGATGATAAGGTGACCATGGGTCATGAAAAAGGCAGTGCGGAAAACGGAGCGGGCGGGCATGCGCTGGGGCCCTTTAAATTCAGCTGATAGAGTTCAGGGGCATGGGGCCATGGGACCATGCAGCCATGGGGCCATGAGCCCTTGAGGCCATGAGAAGCAGTGCGGGCAGGAAGGGCGGGAAGGGCGGAGCAAGCGGAGGGCTCTTTGAATTCAGCTGATAGGGTGGGGCCATGGGACCATGGAGCCATGGGGCCACGAGGCCTTGATGGGGCCATGAGAAGGGCAGTGCGGGCGGGAAGGGCGGAGCAAGCGGAGGGGGCGGGCATGCACTGGGGCCCTTTAAATTCAGCTGCTAGGGGGGTCTGGGGCCATGGGACCATGCAGCCATGGGGCCATGAGCCCTTGAGGCCATGAGAAGCAGTGCGGGTGGGAAGGGCGGAGTCATGGAGCCATGGAGCCCTTGCGGACCATGGGGCCATGAGAAGAGCCGTACGGGCGGGAAGAGCGGAGCAAGCGGAGCAAGCGGAGGGGGCGGCAGCCCATGGAGCCGTAGGACGGGACCCATGGGCAGGGTGTATGTGGGGGTGGGAGTCGGGGTGGGGGTGAGGGAGTACGCCCTTGGGGACCATGGGGCCATGAGAAGGGCAAGAGCGGAGCAAGCGGAGCAAGCGGAGGGGGCGGCAGCCCCTGGGCCATGAGAAGGGCATTGCTGGAAGCGCGGGCATGGTGCCATAGGAAGAGACGGGTGTATGTGGGGGTGGGAGTCGGGCTGGGTGGGTGGGGTGGGCGGGCAGCAAGGGCAGTGCAGGCCATGGGCGGGGTGGGCGGAGCGGGCGGGAAGAGCGCGGCCATGGTGCCCTAGGAAGGGAGCCATAAGCAAGGGCAGACCATGCAGCCATGGGGCCATGAGCCCTTGAGGCCATGAGAAGCAGTGCGGGCCCTTTCAGCTGATAGGGTGGGGCCTATGGGACCATGGAGCCATGGAGCCACGAGCCCTTGGAGACCAAAGGGCAGTGCGGGCGGGAAGGGCGGAGCAAGCGGAGGGGGCGGGCATGAATTCGGACCCTTGAAATTCAGCTGATAGGGTCCGCGGGGGGCGGGGTGCGTGGGTGGTGGGGGTAGGGCAAGCGAGCGGGCATGCACTGGGGGCCGGTCGAGCTTTGGATGGGGTGGAGTAGGTGGTAGGGGTCGGCGGATATATATATATATATATATATATATATACTTTTTTTTGGGCAAACAGCAGTATGGGAGCAAACAGCAGGATGGGAGCATGCACTGGAGCCCTTAAAACTCCTTAGGGACATGGGATGGGGGCCATGGGGGCCATGGGCCATGGGGGCATGGCATGCCTGGTACCTGGTACGGCAGGGCCATGAAGGGCCATGCGGGCATGGCATGGTGTGGCAGGGCCATGATGGAGGCCAGGGCCATGGGGGCCATGGCAGCCATGCGGGTCATGGGCCATGGGGCATGGCGTGCCTGGTACCATGGGTGGCCGTGGGGGCCATGAAGGGCATGGCATCGCCTGGTACCATGGCCGGGCGGAGCGGGCGGGGAGAGCAGGGGCAGCGGAGCGGGCGGGCATGCACTGGAGCCCTCCTTAGGTCGGTAGCGGGCGATAGGGCCATGGGGGCATGGGCATGCCTGGTGCCTGGGGCTAGGAGGTCATTGGGGGCATGGGGGTCATGGGGGCCATGGGGGTCATGGGGCTTGGCCGGAGCGGGCGGGGAGAGGAGGGGCAGCGAGGGGGCGGCCATGCACTGCACTGGAGCTCTTAAAACTCAGCTATGGGCCATGGACAGCACGGGAGCGGAGCGAGCAGTGCACCGGAGCCCTTAAAACTCAGCTTAGGGTCTGTGTGGGGGGCATGGGGGCATGAGAGGAGACCGCGTATGGGTCAGAGGAGAGCAAGAGGGGAGCGGAGTGGGCGGGCGTGCCGTGCATGAGGCCATGGGGCCATGGGGGCCGTGGGCCTTGGGGGCCAGGCCAGCCTCGGGTCGGGGACTGCTTCGGGTCTAGGGACATGGGGCCATGGGACCTTGGGGCCATGGGGCCATGAGGCCCCATGGGTTTGGGCGTGCTGAGGCCATGGGTGGCACGGGTGGAGCGACGGGGGTTTGGGCATGCACGGGAACGAACTCAGGGAATGGAGTACCGGCGAGGGTTTGGGCGTGCTGAGGCCATGGGAACTCAGGGAATGGAGCGCACTATGGGTCTTCACTGACGCCGCCCCCGCTCCAGCTGGGGTCGGCGGATAACTGTACACTCAGGGGGGGTGCGAAAGCTGCCTAGGCAGTTGCAGCGGAAACTGCCCTAAACCCTGAGGTTCAGAGTTGAAGGTCGAGTGGTTTAATGCTTTTGGGGTTTCGGGGGTGTGCTGTCGCCGGTACTTATGACTGCACTTATAACCAGATTAGGGCACTTGAGAGGCTTATAGGTGGGTTATAAGTACAGTTGTTATTGCTTAATAAGCACCATGAACCTCCAAGTACTGTTGCAGTAGAGGTGAAGGTCCGAGCCTTCGGGTCTTGGAGTTTGGGGGTGCATACAATGCAGCGTGAAAGAACTGGTAGGGGTCCGCCCGCAAAAAGCGAAACCCTGAACCCTCAACCCTAAACCCTAGACCCCCAAGCCCCTAAACTTCCCAAGACCCTGAAGCCCCAAACCCTAAACCCCAAACCCCAAAACCCTATAACCCTAAGGTGTAAGGGCTTAGGGGTCGGAAGCCCCGCGAGGATCCCGTGGGCCCCTTACCGCCCATCAAGATGCCGGCGGACAAGGAGCCTAAACCCTTTGCTCAAACCCAAAACCCTCAACCCTAAACCCTCAACCCTCAACCCTCACCCCTCAACCCTAAACCCTAAACCCTAAACCCTAAACCCCAAACCCTCAACCCTAAACCCTAAACCCTAAACCCTAAACCCTAAACCCTAAACCCCAAACCCTAATCCCTCAACCCTAAACCCTCAACCCTCAACCCTAAACCCTAAACCCCAAACCCTAAACCCTCAACCCTAAACCCTGCTCAACCCTGGGGCTTGTAGAGGGCCTCCAAGCACAGGCGGCCTCGGCGCCCGCCACGGCTCGGGGTCCGAAGGCCGACGGCGAGGAGGAAGGCCCGGGAGGGAGCTATGCTTTGGGTTTGGGGTTTAGGGTTTAGGGTGTAGGGTTTAGGGTTTAGGGTTTAGGGCTTAGGGTTTAGGGTTTAGGGTTTAGGTTTCAGGGTTCAGGGTTCAGGGTTTAGCTGTAATTTCCCCGAAACCTAGAAGCCAACAGCCCTGAAACCCAAAACGCATAAAAAGACGCTCTAAGCCTTAGAACGAAACGCCTTAAAGCCCGACAAGCCCTAAAGCCCAAAATCCTGACAACAGATGGGGGATTTCCCTTAGTAGAGACGGCCTGGTTTACCCCAAATTTTCAACCCTAAACCCGAAGCCCTGAACCCTAAAGCCCCAAAACCCTAAACCCTAAAGCCCCAAAACCCTAAACCCTAAACCCTAACCCTAAACCCTAAACCCTAAACCCTAAACCCTAAACCCTAAACCCTAAAGCCTAAAGCCTAAAGCCTAAAGCCTAAAGCCTAAAGCCTAAACCCTAAGCCCTAAGCCCTAAACCCTAAACCCTAAACCCTAAACCCTAAACCCTAAACCCTAAAGCCTAAAGCCTAAAGCAAACCCTAAACCCTAAACCCTAAACCCTAAACCCTAAACCCTAAACCCTAAACCCTAAACCCTAAACCCTAAACCCCCTCAATCCGTGCCGGAGCCCCTGGTTCAGGCAAGAGCCCCGAGAAGCTCCCGGAGGTGCTGGGACCAAAAGGGGGACCAAAGGGTGGTGGCGGCGGCTGTGGTGGGGTTTAGGGTTTAGGGTTTAGGGTTTAGGGTTTAGGGTTTAGGGTTTAGGGTTTAGGGTTTAGGGTTTAGGGTTTAGGGTTTAAGGTTGAGGGTTTAGGGTTTAGGGTTGACGGTTTTCGGGTTTAGGGTTTGGGGTTTAGGGCTGGGGGTTGAGGGTTGAGGCTCATTAGGGGCGAGGCAGCAGAGGCTTGTGGGCTTGCTTAGAGGGTTTGGGCTTCAGGTTGTTGGGGGTTCGGACTTTCAGGGGGGTGGCTTATCAGAGGGTTTGTTTGGGGTTTGTGGGCAGAGACTGGTTGAGAGAGAGTGCTAATTGTGTGTGTGTGTGTGTGTGTGTGTGTGTGTGTGTGTGTGTGTGTGTGTGTGTGTGTGTGTGTGTTTTTACATAGATAGATAGATAGATAGATAGATAGATAGATAGACTTAGATAGATATCCAGATCTAGATATAGATATAGACACAGGTAGATAGAAAGATGTGTGTACATAGAGACTATACCTGTACACACCCAAACCCTAAGCCCTAGCCGTACCCCAAAGCAGTAGAGGATCCGAGCTCGCAGAGGGCTTTTGAGTAGTAGAGTAGGTACCCTTTAACCTTTTTTGGGTATTTCTAATTATTTCTAATCCCAACAAAACTCCAAAGGTTAGCCTTTAGTTCCCCCGGGTTTCTGGACAACTCAGGCTCGTCTGTGTGCGCGCAGGTGTCCCGACCGCGCTCGGCGGAGACTGCGGCGAATGAGGCAACCGAGGAGGCGCGGCCGCCAACTTTAACCAAGCAAGCGGGATTAGGGTTTAGGGTTTAGGGTTTAGGGTTTAGGGGGATTTTTAGTGGGGTTTTTGAGGGGTTTTGGGGGGTGTTAGGGGCGTTTGGGGGGTTTTACGGTTAGGGGGTAGCCCAGCGGTACCCTTTTGGGCTCCCTTATAAAGTAACCTCTGGTTACGGAGCACCAAGCGAAACCCCAAACCCCAAACCTTAGGGCTTAGGGTTTCCAGGGCTCAGAGCTTCCGGAATCTTTACATCCCCCAAGTTTCCGAAAGTCAAATAGGGTTTAGGGTTTAGGGATTTGGGTAGCCTAAACCCTGCAAACCCAAATCCCTTCAATGAAAGCTCCACGTCACTTAAAGACCCTCAACCCCAAACCCGTGGGGGTTTGGGGGTTTGGGAGTTAAGAGAGGGGGTTTAGGGGGGGTTTAGGGGGGGTTTAGCGGGGGTCTTAGGGGGGTTAGGGGGTTTGGGCGGGGTTTAGGGTTTAGGGCCTCCGAGGCCCTAAGCCCTAAACCCTAGTCTGTTGATGCAGGTGGCCTTCGCGCCGGCCCCTGCAAAGGCGGAGGGCGAAGAGCGAGGCGTCCTCGGTGCTCCACTTGAGGTTTGCGGGGGTTCCAGGGTTTTAGGGTTTTAGGGTTTTAGGGTTTTAGGGTTTGAGGGTTTGAGGGTTTTGGGGTTTTAGGGTTTTAGGGTTTTAGGGTCTTAGGGTCTTAGGGTTTTAGGGTTTTAGGGTTTTAGGGGTTTAGGGTTTAGGGTTTGGGGCTCAGGGTTTAAGGTTTAGGGGGTCGTAGGGTTTAGGGTTCAAGGGTTTTAGGATTCAGGGTTTGCTTAGGGTTTGGGTTTTAAGAGGCTTTTGGGGTTCAGGGCTTTCAGGGCGTAGGGTTCAGGGCTTTAAGGGTTTGGAGGTTCAGGGTTCAGGGATTAGGGCTTTTGGTTTCAGAGGTTCAAGGTTCGGCGGGGTTTAGGCATCAGGAGGCCATGCGGCAGAAGTTGAGCTGAAACCTGGGTCTGGTGCTCCCTCTTGCACACGGAATCCAAATGGGTGTTTCCGAAGAATAGGGGTGCCGTTTTGGGGGTCCCTTTAACGCGAGTCTATTTTACTTTTGGTATAAAACGGGTACCCCTATTTTGGGAATGAAGGTGGGGCTTGCCCGGTGGTCATTGGCTTCTGAACCAGTTCTAGGCGTCACGAACGCAAACGCCCCGGCAGCAATGAAGGCACGTGTACATGGCAAGTCGTCCCACCAAAAACCCGAAACCCTAAACCCTGGGCAAGGCAGGAATTTGCATGTGAAGACTGCAGGGAACCCTGCGAAACCTTAGCCCATGCAGAGTCCTAAACCCTAAACCCTAAACCCTAAACCCTAAACCCTAAACCCTAAACCCTAAACCCTAAACCCTAAACCCTAAACCCTAAACCCTAAACCCTAAACCCTAAACCCTAAACCCTAAACCCTAAACCCTAAACCCTAAACCCTAAAACCTAAACCCTAAACCCTAAACGAGGCAGGAGCCCGGAGAAGCTTCCGGAGGCCCTGGCGCGAGCTCGGGGGCTCTGGGTGCCTTCTGGTCTCCTTGTAGCGTTTACACGGGTTTAGGGTTTAGGGTTTAGGGTTTAGGGTTTAGGGTTTAGGGTCAGGGTTTAGGGGGTTAGGGGGTTAGGGGGTTAGGGGGTTAGGGTTTAGGGTTCAGGGTCAGAAGTTGCGCAGATTCTGTGCTATGGTACTAGGGGGCGGGGAGAGAGACATGGAAGGTCTAAAGCACAAACCACTTTCCCTAAACCCTTGCAACATCTCATGCCCCCGAAGCCCTACGCCCTAAACCCTAAACCAAACCTGCAGTGAGTTGCGGTGCTTCAGCAGTCTGGGCCCCCGAACGCCCTATATGAACTTTACGAAATAGGGAACCCCCAATGCAGATCCCCAAATAGTAGGATTCCCTGATAATAGGGACCCCAAAAGGGTACTCAAATTTCGGAATCCTCCCTATGTAAAGTCGGGGTACCCCCTTTTATACAAAGGACCCCAAAAGAGGGGTACCCCCAATAATCGGAAACCTCCATATAGACCCCTACTTGGAGGTTCATTCTAACCATAGGAGGGCACTTAAGGGGCTTATAAGTGGTTATAAGTACAGTTCTAATTGGTCAATAAGTACCCTGAACCCTAAACCCTAGACCCTAGACCCTAAACCCTAAACCCTAAACCCTAAACCCTAAACCCTAAACCTCCAAGTATGTCTGGGCCAGGTAGTGGCCCGGCCCTCCAGGGAGGAGCCCCCAGCGAACGCAACGGAGGAGGAGGCCGGCACAAGGAGCCTTGGATTTGTTACGGTTGGCCTTCGTGCTTTTGTGGGGGTTTAGGGTTGAGCGTTTAGGGTTTAGGGTGTAGGGTTTAGGTTTTAGGGTTTATTCTTTATTTCAGGTTTTTTCCTTTCTGGGTTTCTTACCCTGTGCGTCAACCGCCCCATTAGACAGGGAGGCCTGGAATAGAAAACAAACGCCCAGTATAGAAATCAACCGCCTTGTTTGGGAAACCACCTTCCACGGCATCACTGGCGGTTGGCGAGGACGATCGGAGGAACTTTGAGTGAACTTGTGCGTCAAAACTGGAAAATTTGATGTCCAAAATGCACTTTTGCGAGAATTCTGGGAGCAACGGAGGGCGTGATGCTGGCGTGACTCCAGCGTGATGCTGGCAACGGCTCTAGTCGATAGATAGTACTGCGCACATGCAACCGCCCAGTTTAAGCGTGATGCAGGCGTGATGCAGGCGTGATGCTGCAGACTTAATGCGTTTGCACTGATGCACGTGTAGGTTTTTTGCTGGAAAAACAGTTTTACGCACCGAGATCTCGTGCCTTCTGGACAAAATTCGAAAGTCCCGGCAAGTATCCCAAAACTACCGTTCTGAAACATCCCAAACTGGGCTGTTGTAGGAGGTTCGTGAACCGCCTCGTTTGGCAGGGAGGTTGGACTTACAGGGTTAAGGAGTTCTTAGGATTCCGCATTTGGGGTCCCGGACCTCCTGGCATCAAGCGTGGCGTCGGGTTAGGATCATGCTTGGTGAAGTACTGGGGGACTTCGGGCCCCAAGTCATGTTTCCTTCTGGCTGGTTCGGCTGGTTCTTAGTAGGGAATGAGGGAATGAGGGCCCTGTAAAATCCCTTAAAGGGAAAATCAGGATGCTCATTCCCTACTAAGACATAGGGGGTCTTGTCCGAATTCGCCACCGGCTACCCAAAGGCCGAAAGAGAGGGCAGGGGAGAGCTCTGGCCAATGAAGACCTCGCCCCTGACCATGTGTGACGCGTACGTGCCGAGTACCGAACTTGAGATGACCTGTAGCCGCACGCCTCTAATAGCACGAGTGCCCAAATTGCCGTTGGCAAACCCTAAGCCCTTACTCATAAACCCTAAACCCTAGCAACAGTGACAAGTCCACAAGTGTCACTTGTCACTTCATCGGAAGCGGCCCGCCGCCGCCCCCGCCCACACCCCCAACCCTCTTGAAGCTCACCCTACACCCTAAACCCTAAACCCTAAACCCTAAACCCTAAACCCTAAACCCTAAACCCTTAACCCGGCCGGAGGCCCCGCCCCCGAAGCCGCTCACCTTGCCGCCGCTGGACACCACGAGCTCGCAGGCGCTGGACCCCCCGAAAAGACCCCACCGACTCTTTTTACTTGCAGTTTAGGGTTTAGGGTTTAGGGTTTAGGGTTTAGGGTTTAGGGTTTAGGGTTTAGGGTTTAGGGTTTAGGGTTTAGGGTTTAGGGTTTAGGGTGTAAGGTTAGAGTTTCGGGTTTAGGGTTTAGGTTTTAGGGTTTAGCTGACCAAAACACACGCATTCCTGAAATTTCTGTAGAACGCGAACACAGCGTATCGTTCTTGCGAGCGTACAAATCACCCTCGTTTTACCTTCATCGCGTCGAGGCGGGTCCTCCCAACATACCCTTCTAACGAAGTAGGCCACTGCAGTCAGGCGCCACTCGAAACCCTAAACCATGGACCCTAAGCCCAAAACCCTAAACCCCAAACCGCAAACCCCAAACCCCAAACCAAAAAACATACCCAAACACCCGAAGCCCCAAACTCCAACGATACCGTCGAAACCCCCCCCCCCCCCCAAACCAAAAACAAGCAAGACTCCAACTGGAACCTTGGGGACCTAAACCCTAAACCCTAAACCCTAAACCCTAAACCCTAAACCCTAAACCCTAAACCCTAAACCGTAAACCGTAAACCCTAAACCCTAAACCCTAAACCCTAAACCCTAAACCCTAAACCCTAAACCCTAAACCCTAAACCCTTAAACCCTAAAACCCTAAAACCCTAAAACCCTAAACCCTAAACCCTAAACCCTAAACCCTAAACCTAAACCCTAAACCCTAAACCCTTAAACCCTTAAACCCTAAAACCCTAAGACCCTAAACCCTAAACCCTAAACCCTAAACCCTAAACCCTAAACCCTAAACCCTAAACCCTGAACCCTAAACCCGAAACCCTAAACCCTAAGCCCCCTCCAAGGCACCCAGGGCCGAAGAGGAGGCCGATTCCCGGGACGAGGCCCCTGGCGACGCCAGTCCCTCAGCCGGTGCCTCAGACCTCGGCCTCACGGGTATTGGGGCTTAGGGTTTAGGGTTTAGGGTTTAGGGCTTATGTCTGAGGGCTTAGGGTTTCGGGCTGACCTCCTCACAGCTGCTGGGATAATGAGGACCCCAAGAAGGTACCCCTAGTTTCATGTTGAAGCCACGTGAGCGTTTTCGCAGGAGTGCGGGTTCCGTTCTGGCAAGGAAAGAGAATCCGTTGCAGCTTTGGCTGCTTCCAGAGTGCCTGACGGTTAGCCAGAAATCCTCGACCCTTCTAAGACCCTGAGAACGAATCGCATCTGAAATATGCTGAGTCGACAGCCGTTCAGAGGGTTTGAGTGTTTTCGCGCGCCTCTCGAGAAACTCGTGCGCGACTTTGTTGGCCTTTGTCCGCCGAGGATGTGCCGGGCCCGCACAATGAGGCGGAGCCTAGCAACGACGCAGAGCCGCAGCAGGCTGGCTGCCTGGCTTGCAACCAGAACCTACTGCAAGCCCTTCACCCTGAGGCATTGTGTGGGTTTTGGGTCCAGAAATCAAAAATGCCCAAGCCGCCAAGGCCGAACCTGAACAGTTTCGATTCTGGCCCGTGCTGGGGCTTTGTTGTGCAAGCTTTGCAAGTACAGGACAACACACAGGTACACTTTCATGGCTCGCAGGTCGGACCTAGTTGGTCAGGACTAGTCCAGAAGCAGTCAGCGACTGCCTTTCAAAACCGTAAAGGCTCATGAACGCGCTGCACCGTCAAATCCACGAAGTCCTGCAAGCTCTCAAGCACCCTAAGTGCGGGCTACCCTGTAAAGCCTAAAGTCGCAAAGCCCTGACACCCTAAGCCCGAAAGTCATACACCTGCGACTCATAGCCTTATCACACACTAACAACCTCAACCCGAAACCCCAAAACCCTAAACACGAAACCCTGAGCCCAAGACCTGATTTTTAGCCGCCCTTGCGAGGCGCAGTCCCCGGCCGGGAGTGTGGAGCAGGAGCCCGCTTCAGGTGATCAAACAATGAAGCCTTGTATTCGGGGGTTTCCGAAATTTGGGGGGTACCTTGTTGGGGTCCTCCTTCTAAGGGGCTCCCAGATTCGGGGTCCCTTATTCTCGGAAGCTCCCGTCTAGTTCTGGGGTCTTGGAGCACTCTTTGGCTTGATGGTGGGGTTTGCGGTGACTTTAGATTCTTTCGGCAATTCAATCCCTACACTCAAAAACCAAACGGAGTTCAGGGTTGGTGGGCCTCTCGAGGTTTGCAGGGGTTTAGGCGGTTGGGCTGTTCCCGGGGTACATAGAAACCCTAAACCCCATACCCCAAACACTCAAAGGCTCTGCCGGAGCCCTCAACCCTGAAATTCTAGGCCCCAAGCCCTAAACCCTAAACCCTGAACCCTAAGCCCAAAAACTCCAGCGTTTTTGCGAGCCTTCTTGTGCGCACTAGACCAGGAGCAGCGGTCGCCACGGTCGCCCCAGTCGCCCCGGTCACCCCAGTCGGCCGAGCGCGTGCAGAAGACTCTGGTGGAGGCTGGGCCCCTTTTCGGCTTGGCGAGGGTGCCCGTTGCGCTCTTGGGTCCTTCCTTGGAGTTTTTTTTGGGGGGTCCGAGGGTTTAGGGTTTAGGGTTTAGGGTTTATGTTTTCTTTCGGCAGTTTAGGGTTTTTCTTGTCTTAGCATATCTGCGCCACTCTTTATGCTAGTGGGTATCCCAAGTTTAGAAACGAGTTTTTTGAGGCGCTCTGAGCCCTCAGCCCCTCTCCCTTCAAGCGCCAAAAGCCGCCTGCAGTGAAAGCTCTCAAAAACCCTAAACCCCCCTAAATCCTACACCCTCAGCCCGACTACTTAAAACCCTCAACACTAAGCCCTGAGCCCAAAACTTGTTTTTGGTGCCACCTTGGCGAGGCGCAGTCCCCGGCCGTGAGTGTGGAGCAGGAGCCCGCTTCAGGTGAGCAAACAATGAAGCCTTGTATTCGGGGGTTTCCGAGATTAGGGGGGTACCTTGTTGGGGTCCTCCTTCTAAGGGGCTCCTACTATTGGGGTTCCATAAACTCCCGTTTAGTTCTGGGGTCTTGGAGCACTTGTTTTGATGGCAGGGTTTACGGTTGCTTTGGATTCTGTAGGCAATTCAATTCCTAAACTCAAAACCAAACAGGGTTGGGTTCAGGGTTGGTGGGTCTCTCGAGGTTTGCAGGGGTTTAGGCGGTTGGGTTCCATCCTGATACTAGCAGTGTCACAACTCGGGGTAAGCCCTAAACCCTGAACCCTAAACCCAAAAACTCTAGCGTTTTTGCGAGGCTTCTTGCGCTCACTAGACCAGGAGCACCGGTCGCCACGGTCGCCCCAGTCGCCCCGGTCGCCCCAGTCGGCCGAGCGCTTGCAGAAGACTCTGGTAGAGGCTGGGCCCGTTTCAGCTCTTAGGTCCTTCCTTGGAGGTTTTTTTGGGGGGGTCCGAGGGTTCAGGGTTTAGGTTTCCTTTTGGCAGTTTAGGGCGCTTGGGGTCTCCGGAATCTGGGGTCTTGGTCTTAACATAGCTGAGCCACTCTTTGCTGGTGAGGCTGTCAGACTTGACGCTGTGGAAGGCTTTGCCCAGGGACCCGTAAGCCACAAGTGCGAAACTAAGCCCAAATGAGTTCCAGCCCTTCGCATTCTCACCGAACAACAAGCCAAGACGCCTGAATACTCACCTGACCTTGTCTAACCTGCAACCTCCCCGCCGGGCCTCCAACCCTGAACCCGAAGCTCTAAACTGAACCCTAAGCCCTGAACCCCAAAACCCCTGAACCTCTAAACCCCTCAACCCCTAAACCCTAAGCTCTAAACCCTGAACCCTGTATCCTAAACGCTAAACCGCCAACCCACCTCCTGTGAGCCTTTCCGGGTTGCCGTTCCCAGGAGGATCCCGGGGAGGCATCGCCAGTGGGGTCGCTGGGCTGCCCTTATAATAGAGTTTAAGGCTGTTGTTTAGGGTTTAGGGTTTAGGGTTTAGGGTTTAGGGTTTAGGGTTTAGGCTTGATTGTGTTGGGGAGTTAAGAGTCCAAGGGTTCATGAGTGTGCGCGCCTCTGAACAATCTCCGCTCTGGCCTCAAGCCCTACAACTCTAAACCCTAAACTCTAAACTCTCTGAACCTTGCAGGGCACCTCCATTGAAGCTACATGCCAAACTCTCTCCTGAGCTACCAAGCATCCTAAAAGCACCTCATCACAAGCTGATATATATATATATATATACTGTTTCATACTCGATTATTACACTAATAATTCTTCTGTTTTGTTTTAAAGCCTTACACTGCTTCGTGCGGGGTTGAGGACTTTGTTCCTGGCTGCGTGAATCCGCCCTCGCCGAGGATCGGGGCCTCCAGAACGTCGGGATCAGACCCCCAGGAGCTCTCCAGCCAAGCCCTAAACCAAAAACCCCCAAACCCTAAACCCTAAACCCTATATAAACCCTACACCCTAAACCTAAACCCTAAACCCTAAACCCTAAACCCTAAACCCTAAACCCTAAACCCTAAACCCTAAACCCTAAACCCTAAACCCTAAACCCTAAACCCTAAACCCTAAACCCTCAAAACTTGGACGGGGAGATAGACAGGGTCAACTCCTTGGGGGTGCTGGGCTGAGGCTTGCGGGGTGGTGGGGGCTTAGGAGCCTCAACCCTACAAACCTGAACGCTCTCAACCCTAAACCCTAGAAACCCGAAACCCTAAACCCTAAACGCTAAACCCTAAACCTTTCAAAAGCCCTGAAATATTGGGGTGCTGAGAAGCGCAAGGAGGCCTTCAACAACGCCCACCCCGGCGACTCGCCCACCCAGGCGCCCTCTCGGACAGGTGGTGGTTTAGGGTTTAGGGTTTTAGGGTTTAGGGTTTAGGGTTTAGGGTTTCGGGTTTAGGGTTTAGGGTTTCGGGTTTCGGGTTTCGGGTTTAGGGTTTAGGGTTTAGGGTTTAGGGTTTAGGGTTTCAAGCCTTCAGCCGATGTAGGGATGTGAGTGCTACCACAAGAGTCTAGACGCTACAGAATGTTGTATAGTAATATGGTATTATACGATATGAGAAACTCTTATATAAGAGTCTAAAGTACCCCTTAGTATACAATATTCTACAATGTCGTCTTCTGCAATATGACGGTTTCAAATATACGGGAGGGTCTTAAGACCTTAGTGGTGTTGTGGTTCTGATGACCTCTACAGCGGCTAGTGTCGCTAGCTTTGCTCGGCAGTTTTCATAGGATTTGGGATGGCGGCGTTTCGTGAGAGATGCCGTCGCCAGAACAAGGTGGAGCTACCCGCGTCGCCGCGACGGCAGAAGACTCCGGTCGAGGTGGTGAGAGCTGGCTTTGTGCTCGGGCTCTTGGGATCCTTTCTCTAAATTTAAGATTCGGAGCAGTCAGATCAGAACCCAGAACCCTGAATCCGACCCTAACGGCCCCAATGGCGTGATGCCGGGAGGCCCCCAAGTCCCAACCACCCGAACACCGAATCCACCCTCAAGTCCCCAAAAACCCAGACTGGGCGCATTCAAGCCTCAAGCTTTCACCCCCCAAGACCCTGAGAAGCCCTGAGCACTGAGCCCTAAACCCTAAACCCTAAACCCTAAACCCTAAACCCTAAACCCTAAACCCTAAACCCTAAACCCTAAACCCTAAACCCTAAACCCTAAACCCTAAACCCATAACCCATAAACCCTAAACCTGAAGATCTCCAGGAACCTTTGCCCCAGGAAGCCGAGCAAATGTAGGAACCCTAAGAGTCCGAGGAACCCTCGGAAACCCAGGAAGCTAGGAAACCGAGAAACCCTAGGAACCCTAGGAAGTTTAGGGAGTTCTAGGACCCTAAACCCTTAACCCTAAACCCTAAACCCTAAACCCTTCACCCTAAACCCTAAACCCTAACTCTAAACCTTAAAATTTCGAGGAAATCTAGGAATGCTATCAACCCTAGGAACCCGCCAAGCTCTCCCTGCGCAGGAGGATGTGGGCGAGGCCTCCCCGGTGGGGACGCTTGCTCTGCTCTTGGGTTCGGGTTTAGGGGTTTAAGGGCTAAAGGGTTTAAGGGTGTAAGGGATTGGGGTTTGGGGTTGTCGGGTTTAGGGTTTAGGGTTTCGACCTTGCCGCAGCCTTTAAGCCACCAACCCCGATTCCTTCCAAACCCACCTAAAACCCTCAAGCCTCAAAAACCCTGAAGCCTCAAACCCTAAACTCTAAACCCTAAACCCCAAACCTTAAACCCTAAACCCTAAACCCTAAACCAAACCCTAAACCCTAAACCCTAAACCCCACACCCTCAAAACCTCTGAGTCAGCTCAGGATCCGGGCCTCTAGGGCCTCAGCCTCGGATTCCGCCTCCGAGGAAAGCGCCGCCTTTGGTCGTTCGGGGGGGGGGGGGGGGCATTAGGGGTTTCGCTTGGGGTTTAGGGTTTAGGGTTTGGGGTTTCGGGTTTCGGGGTTTCGGGGTCTCGGGGTTGGGGTTTCGGGGCTTCGGGCGCAGGGTTGATTATTGGAGGATTCAGGCCCTCCATGTGGGGTATTTACTTTCTGAGCGCTCATCTTTAAAGCGAATTTATGTCCACTTTGCTGCTTTTCTTGACGATGTATACCATGCAAGATCCTAAACCCTAAACCCTAAACCCTAAACCCTAAACCCTAAGCCCTAAGCCCTAAACCCTAAACCCAAAACCCTAAACCTCAGTCAACCTTCCCTCATACCTCCCCTTGAGGGTTTCAGGGCCAAAAGCAACCGCAGCGAGGAGCCTTTCAACGCTTCCGCCATGGGCCTCACCGACTCCACCATGCAGGTGCCTCTTGCTGCTTGGGGGTTGCGAAGTCTATTAAATCTTGGGGAAGAACCCTAAACCCTAAACCCTAAACCCTAAACCCTAAACCCTAAACCCTAAACCCTAAACCCTAAACCCTAAACCCTAAACCCTAAGCCCTCTCCCAATTGCCCACCCCACATCCTACAAGACCAGACCAAACCCCCTTGCATGACCCAAGGCGCTGGCCCTTCGTGCGATGGACTCGGACGGAATGATCGAGGAGGCTTCTAGGGAGGGAGCTAAAGCCCCCCCCCCCCCCAAAAAAAAAAAAAAA